ATTCCATGATTTCCATCATCCGAGTGTAGTGTGTGTTCTGTGGACGACCTCAGCCCTCAGGACCACCTTTTTTTTAGGGCAATAAAAGCTCGAGTCAGCTTTGCATTGCATCAACTCGAATCAAGAAGCACTTGAGAGGAGTATCAATTGCATTATGTAAATAGGTCCAATAATTGAAATTCCACGTATGCTTATTTGTGGTTTGTACCATATTTACCCCTCAGGCTTACGAATTGTTGTAAATACACAAAATTTCTTAATTATGGGATTATTTGTCGTTTAACTAATCCCTTAATTGTAGGATTAGTTATAGCCATATAATCACCTTAACCCCCAGTCCGTTTCATCCCTCCTTTTTTCCTTCTTCCAAACAATTCCCTCTATCAATCCTCCTCTTTTTTGTCTTTTCTTTTCATGGGTGATATTTTTGTATTCTTCCCTCCAAATTCGTTCCTTTAATGGAGGTATATTATATCATATTTATATTTCAATGTTCCGCCATGTAGGTTCCCAGCATTTTTCTTCCAATACAATAGGTAGTTTATTTTGTTTTGCAGGTAGATTATATCTGCTTTGTAGGTATAAACATTTTTCTTACTATACAATAGGTAGGTAGTTACTAAATTATATCGGTTTTGTTTTCTTCATAAATAGTAGGTAGTTATTAGATAATATTTTAGTTTGAGTATTTAAATATTCAAAATTTAAAAACTGAATAAATGATAAAAAAAATTAAAGAATTTAAATATTTTTATCTGAAGGGGCAAAATTGATATAAAAATATGTAATTGAATAACTAGACTCAGTCCCAAAAACTACCTATGTTTTTGGACCTAGATCCAAAAGCCCCTAAATAGAATTATGAACTCATATGGTCTGTGCCTCAAATATATTCAACCACCACTTAAGGAAACACCAAAATCTTTCAAAACCAAACATGCATTATTGCACTCTCTAACTCTTTAGGCAACTTGGATTTGCTTCTCACTTAATCATATCACAAACCTCTATCACTTTTGAGTAGCGATTTTGGTACTCATTTTATCTTCTGCCAATACAAATTGAGTAATTTATAATTTTTATAAAATCTACAATGGGTGTGTGATGCAGACGTGAATTAAGTCAAATAGTCATGATAGTGTGCCTATCTACCAGACTGTCACTCAAATTTGAATCCTCTCTCCGTAAATCAGAGTAAGAATATACCATAAGCTAAATTGTTTGTTGCGATAGAGGAGCTGACTCATTTATTCAGATGGAGAAATGTTAATATGAAATGGAAGAATTAGGAGTGGGGTTGGTCAATGCTATTTTTTCCATTTTTATCTCTGCATAGAAGTTGGAAATGTATTACCTAACATTAACAATCGAGGGTAGCTAGGGTTTCTTTTAGGGTTTCTGATTTTTATTTGTTTTCGGGTGGACATCTTTATCATGCCTTTTTTGATCCTATAGTGTAGTAATTTTATTTATAAGTTGAACCACATCAATCTTAACAATGTTCTAAATTTACCGAATATTTTTGCACTCGAGTTTGAATTATCTTCTTTATGTTAGATTCGAACACTGCTTTGTGAAAAAAAGAAAAGAAAAAGAGAGAAGTAAAAAACTGGCGGAGCCTCACTTTGGGCCTGTAGACTGTAAGGATTGGGTCTTGCATAATTGTGTTCACAGTCAATATTGTAGGATACAAACCGACTAGGCCCATCCACAAAAAAGGCCGCCGTGGCTCAAATAATTGAAGAAGAATTGATTTGTTGTGTCACTCTCAATCAGTTCTTTTAACGGAGATTAGCTAACGAGATATTTGTCGATTGATAGGGACGTTACATACTACTGAAATCTCAGTAACAATATGGACATATGATCTGCCACTTGTTATCCAGTTTCGGGATGACTTAAACGAAATTGGAATGCCATGATGATATTTCAATCAATTATTAGTCGGGCATAAAAATTTTAAAATACGTGAAATTGTGTTATTGATTTAGGATGCCATGAAGGCTTAGGCGTACAGACCAGTGTAGGCAAGTTCTCCATTTTCAAAGGCCACAAGTTCGAGACTTCCACCACTCTAACTGTAAACAACTGCTAGGGTTAGAATGAGGATGTGATCAAGGGTGGACGCATATTGGGATTTAGGTGGTTCCAAGACCATCCGGAGTTCATAAATATACATGTGAAGGTCTTCAGATGACCCTTCGAATGTTTTGTAGTCCCTTTGTACCTAATAAGTGTTTGATACAATACCTGCTAGGCATATCTCGACAGGTTACATGGACAATATCAACAAATTCTCTCGATATCACTCATGAAGTGCTCAATGAAATGCCTTAGTGCATAAACTGAAATTTATTTTGTGCGGTTCACGCTTCCCTTATTTCTATCTATAAAACCTGAACATTTAATAGTGGGACCACCCAAGATTCGAATTCTGAATCTACTACTAGATACGATGGGACGCTAATGCGTACAATAAGGACAAAAAGTTTTTTCATATAACAATTGTATCGTCATGTGATGTTAATTAATTCATGTATAATTAGTTGCATGGTTATTTTATAGACAGTAGATATACAGATGTACCATTGTATCGTTGTTATCGATATTCTATGCCACCGACGATCGACAAGAAAGGAGACTGGAAGTTCCATGGCGCGTGATCATATCTCCTCGCGCACATAGCGGCAGGTGAAACGCCGCTTTTAGCACATGTCGTGGACCACCTTCTTAATTTCTATGCTGATACTCATGACTGGGACTAAGAGAGCTGCTCAATATATACGGCATGCGTCCTCTCTCTCTCTCTCCTCTGCTGTTCTGACATTGACATTGAAGACTCCGACTACATGACACCATGCCACTTAAGCTTGTTCATGCATGCATGGTGAAAGCCTTCATTTTAATCATGAAACTCCCTGCCTCACTTCTCCTCCTCCAATCATTTTCATTGAGGTCAACTGTTTTATGACTTTTGCCACAGTAACGATATTTTACATACTCTTTAGCCTCATTTTTCTACCCATAAGATACTTTATTTGTATATTTTTGCAAGGATTCGTGAAGGAGATTTGATTTGGCGTCTACTTTTTAGGTTTGGAGTTTGGCTTTCTCCGAGGAAGTGGCGGCGACAGTAATCTGGTTAATGCTGCTCGAGATTAGGGTTTTTTTGTTGTTTGTTTTTTCAGCATTCGGGCCTAATTTTATGTGCACCTCCCATTGTATCTTGGGTAGCGGCTCTAATTTTGCTTGAAACTTTTACTTTATCAGTTGTTGTTTACCTGACTTTTTTTAAGCCTTGTACTAATTTTTAATATAATAGAAGTTCTCTTCTTGATAAAAAAATAAAAATAAAAAATAAAAAATCATGCAACTCCACACGCTCTTTTGGAATGGAACCGGTAATGTATGCATGCACTGATGCACAAAGTGAACTTATGAAAATTAAACCATATATACACGGGGAGGATTCGTGACAATTATTTATACAAGTTTTTGTGAGGCTCACTTCATAATATATTTTAACAATCTGAACCGTCTATTTTTTAGAATATCTTTATAAATCATCTTTGCAAAAATTAAATAAATCCAAAACAAATTAAAACAATCATTTGTAGTGAAGACAATAAAAGAATACGGTTCTACAAAAAATTATGTATAATTTAATTTCAAAAAATGTATAAAATAGTGGTGCAACAAATTCGTCCCATATGTATAATTTAATTTCTAAAACGTGGGCTGAAACTTACTATCAGCTAATTCGAGATCGATTGAATTTTATGTTTTACTCATATTAAGTTGCAGTTAACCTTATTTGTAGACACCATAATATGATATATCAACACTATTTTGACCATTGTACCTTTTCAATATCGGCGGCATCAACAATAGAGTGGTTAATATATTTGTAATATAATATTTAGGGATCTTCTTAAGTTAGGGTAACTTTATTCACCGGTGCTTTCTAGGTTTTTTTTTTTTTTTTTTTGAAGTTTTAACGAAAAGCCTACAGTACTGTTTATTTTAACGAAAAATTATATTTTTACACTAAAAAGTTAATCATGGTACTATTTACTTTACTATTTATTTTGTCCTTATCATTAAACTTAAAGTTTTTAAGTTCTTTTCCTTATTATTTATTTTTTTTTGCTTTAAAGGGACATTTATGTCAAAGTTCAAACAGAAAGCAACTGCCATGGCCCATCAACCAACGAAAAGAGAGGGTCACTGGTCACTGCGTTACTTGATTAGCAGTTAATTAACTAGTTAGTACGTTCCTCTCTGAATCTCAAAACGAATTTATATGATGCTTATGCATGGAAATACTAGCTAGGTAGGCAAACATAAGTTAATCATGTCGCACAGGTAATTGGCACTTTACGCCAGTCGGCCGGTAAGAAAGCTTTACGTAATTGCCCGAAAAAGACGAAAGAAAGATAAACAAAGGTGAAGTGGCAGAGTGAAAAAAGCAATGTCGGCTAAAGCAATACGTACGCAAACTCAGCGGACAACTATACAACTAGGGCAATTCACAAGTCCCTGAAAAAACCAATAGGTTTCAAGGTTCAAATCGACTAACTACATTTCCTAATTCATTTATAAACCTATCGAAAAGGATTACGAAACAAATTCAAAACGATCGATGCATGGTAGACACGTACAGATATCACACACACACACACACACACACACAGATATAGAAGCTTTTGATTGAGGGATTTCTGTTTAGGTTTCTCTCCTGGAGCCATGGTTTCCGTCTGCGCAATGGTGATCCAATGCATGCGCTTGGGTCTCTCGACTCCATCTGCATATTGTTTCTTCAGTGAGTTTCTCCTGTTTTCTATCATCTCTACTTGGGGAATTGACCTGCCCCACTTGATGGTCCTACGAAGCTTGTCTCACGCCCCACACACACACACATATATATATATATATATATATCATTATCAGAAAGTTAATATGAAAATATATTATCAGATCTCAGCAATTATTTAATCAAATATCGCAATTAACGTTGTGAATGAATTTCCTTAGGATGTTCAATTAGATGTACAAAAGGAAAAAGTCTAAGTCAAGAGGTACATTCTGTTAATTACATACAGAGCTTAATATATACTAGTTAAGAAGCTGAAGATACTACGTGCACCTGCTAGTCAAGCCTGCAATATATCCGCATGCATGCGTGGCCTGCAGATACGTTAACCAAGCTTTAACAATATTAATGCTACATATATATCCCACCTACACAACAAAGATTTGCGTTAATTAAGTAGGTACTATCTACTAATTAAACCATGATTAGAATCAACGAAAATACAATTTGCATATCTCATGGACAATACAGGCTTTTGCGTGTTTGTACTGCAGCCATTATGAATGAGAATTATACGCCGTTCTTCTTTTGTAAGCTTTTTCCCCTTTTCCTTTCTAAAATATTTTGATCAATCCCAAATTCTCAGTTGACGCATATTTTGATCTATATAAAATATATAAATACACAGTTTCTACCCCTTATTTTTACTTGAGGCATATATCATGAATGCATAAATTAATCTTAGATTGCATACCACCTCTTGTACTATTTGATAATCATTTCAGTTTTTAACTTTTATATTTTTGTGAAAACAAAATACTGGAAACCGTTTGGTAATTAACTCTTTTTAGTTTTTAGATCAATTGAAAACTCTTTTTAGTTTTTAAACCAATTGAAAACTAAAAACCAAAATGAAGCTAAGTTTTGAAAGCTGAAAGAAGTAGCTTTTTATGTAGATGGCGACTTTACCATAGTGGCGGAAAACAATCATGTGCGCACCCTAGTGCTGGTTCGATTCCCACTGCTCCCCCTCCCTCAATTTTCTGAATTGAAAAATAATTACTAAACAAGTTTTTCGTTTAAAAAAATTGAAAACATAACTAAACACACAAAATCAAGTCAAGTTTTGAAAACTGAACTTGAAAACAAAATTAATGTAAAAAACGTCTCGTTAATTTTTCAACTCACATGCTTGATGATTTGACATCCACTTTAATATTTTTTTCTAAAAAAATGTTTTGAGAAATGAATTTTTGCTGTCAGAGATCGTAATAACGTCAGAGGTTTCCAAGAATAACAGTTATAACTTTCGCATGAGCAGATATGGATTGCAAATATGCAGATGATGAAATCAATCCAAATCCCCACAAGGAAAAAAAAGTAAAATGAATTATCACGTCTTAGAGCTTCCTTTAACTTGCTTTGGCTGAAAGAGAAATTAAAGTTGGCATGCAATAATCAAAAGATAAAATATAGTCAACAACCTAGCAACCTAGCAAAAGATCCCAAGCGTAGCAGATAAGTTCGTAGCCAATGAGAAGTACATGATGTTGATAGTGGTGCATAAAAAGCCACAAGGAAACAATTAGATACACAAAATTATATGTATATACTAGTCATATAGAATAAGAACCACTCAATTATACTTCACGCTTGTGTTTTTTAATTAAAAAGGAAAACACCTCTACTTTAATTAATTCCACAGATTTCAGAAGATTTCGGAATTAAAAAGCTACATTCTTCCAATCATGCGCCTAAAGTAACTTCTCCAGAAATCGAAATTATTATATAATTAAGTTGCTATAATTCTTAGTCTTCACCATCCTTTCAACTTCTAGGGTTTTCAAACCAACAGTACTATTGCCTACATTCTGGTGATTAATATATATCTGCGTGTGTTCAACCTAATAAGCTAGCTAGATGATTGTTAAGAAGTAAGTACAAACGTCAGGTTATGAACCTTTATAATAAGAGAGCAACCTCCACGAGTACACTACCATTATAACGTCTTATATTATGAAAGTTATTCTCCTAGGCATTATAAATTGGATAGTACTATTCACATATCTATTTTTACTTCTTACACACCACTCTCAATTTCCGGCTAGTGAATTGAATGAATTGAAGCAGATCAATGACAAAAGATTAATAAGGGTGTGTGTGAGGTAAAAATGAGTGTGTGAATAACATTATCCTATAACTAGAAAGTACCATCTTCATTATATACATTAAATAGTTAAATAATTCAAGTGAAATATTGGTGTATTATTACCCTTTTACTCCAGTCGTCATCGATTTCGCATTCCAAGAGGTACAATGTCTCCAAGAAGCCCTTCATCGGTAGGAAGAGGTGGGGTTGGCTGAGGATCAATGAAGTGGGATGATCCTCCTGCAGCTTGATCATCGTCATGACGCGGGACTACTGCTTGGTGCGACGCCGTTGGGGTCAAATTAATAGGACTAGTTATTTCTCTGGGTCGAATTGTTGGATAATACATAAACTGTGAGGCTGGAGACAGCTGAGCCAACTGGTGGCCTGCAAAGCTAGATTCATGACCAATGACTCCCCCACGAGGGAATGCAACGGTATGATGACAGTGTTGGCCTTCATATGTGGTAATTACAGTTGTGGGATCTTCAGAGGAACGCTCAACTCGTTTCTTCACAGTGCATTTGGTATTTGTGCAGCGATAATAGCTCCTGCAAATTAAACAACAAAAGATTGAGTGTGAGATTCTGCATATAAAAATTATAATGCATGTATTCTGGTGATTAATATCTGCATGCATATCTAATAAACTAATGATTGTTGGTTTGCAAAATAAACAGTTAAAAATTCAGTGTCAGATTGTGTAAGATGATGCATATACATTTAACTGTTAGAATATTCTTTTGTTCCAATAATTCATAACCACTTTGAAGTTGTTTAATCCCAAATTTGTAAACTCTGTCCCTCTACTCAGTTCACAATCTTTAGATTAAAAGTTAGTTTTTTTAGTGTAGCTAGATAGTGGCACACTCGCAATCTGTACAATCTCTAGGTCTATTTCCGAGGCTTGGAAATTTAGGGTAAGAAAAAAATTAAAGCTATCAGTTATAAGAAATTAAGAAAAATATTTCCATATTTAGATGACAAGGATAACAGTCTCAAAATGAAAATATATAGCAAGTACCAACATTTTAGTGGAGATGGTAATTAAATAGTTGCAGACCTTGGAAATGGACTATTTTTAACAGCCTTCTGACCATATTTCCGCCAACGGTAGCCATCCTCCAGATGATCAACTTCACTCTTTGTCACGAATGCGAATCGTTGCTGCCGGATTCTCTTCGGCCCCTTCTTTTTAACCTTACTCCTACAAAATATTTTACCTACAATTATCACAACAAAAACAATATCTTGAAAAATCCAAAGAGAAAAAAAACCCAAAAGATAAGTGAATTCTATGTCATATATTGCAAATTAAACGGAAATGCCATATAAAAGTACCACATATATATTCATGCATGGTTAGTTTCTAATGTGATCCGACTAAAACGTAATGCATATAATTATTGACATCAGTCCACATGATCGCTCAGAAGATATTGACATATGTCAACACTAATGTGGTATATCATGCATTATGTTTTACCTTAAACTTAAACTGTTAGGGAATAAACCTGTAATTCGTATCAAACTAAATTAACTCTCAATTCCAAACAATAGCAAAGGGTTCAACATAGTCGGTAGTCGGCAACTAAAAGTGAGGTGGTGCATGTAATTATAAGCCACCATTATTAGGAAGAAATCCAAAAATATGGACCACAAATTAAAGAAGAATCCCATGGCAGGAATATCATCATCGCCCAACTCTCTCTTTATTATGGTAATGCAAATGCTACTTAGAGACAAATATGTCACATGCATCATCCATCACTTACTCACACAAATGCTATTGCAATATTCGCAGTAGCGTTCGATAATTCATACAGCTGACCTCACTTAACAAGATAAAATCTTGTTATTGTTTGTAAAAAAAAAAAAAAAAAATTCCCTATAGCAAGAGCTAGCATATAATTACATTATTGTTCCTAATTAAACCTAAATCATTTAAAAACAAGCATATATAATAAAACTCGCCTTATTTCCACCATGTTCTCACTCTTTACCAAAAAGTGTGAATTTTGGCACGCCATTTCCTGCCGTTAAATTTGCTTTGCCACGCCCTAATTCTCTGTGGAATTACGAAAATGCCACCCCAACTTGCATGAACTCTGTGTGTGTGGGTACAGCTCTAATAGTTTCTCACTTTCTAAAGCGTACGGACGGAGACCCCAATTGCAGATTTTGCAAACCCGTTCTGATATTTTTCATTTTTATCCATTTAATTATTTATTTTGTAAAAAGATCCCTGCCTCAGTTGTAGCCCACGAAAAGCAAGTTAATTACGCAATAAGCCATTATTAATCAATAATACTCAATCATGGAAACCCAACTCACTGTATTTCGGGCGGTGGTTTGCCGCCGGAGCCTGCAGACCTCTCGGGAGGATCCTCGCTGGAGCTCGTAGACGCGGACTGATTGGTCGAAGCGGATCCGAGAACCGGGGCCAGGTCGGAGCTCCGAAAGGCGGGGCTGCTACTGCTGCTGCTGTTCTCCAAAACAAGAGGACTACTGCTAGTATTTCCCGCCAAATCGGACATGTCGTCGGCGGCGGCGATGGGGTCGAGGCAGGGGAAGACTTCATCGGGTTTGGAGGCGTCCGGGTTGAAGTTCCAGCCGAAGTTGCTGAGTATGTTGCTGTCTCTGTCGTGGGTGGTACTGAAGAAGTAGACGCTGTCGGAGCCCGGAGGCCAGGTGGACTGAGTCGTGAACTCGGTCGTGGTTAGTGGATCGCGTTTTTCGTTGTTGTCGTCCATGAGAATCGATCAGGACGATCCGCCGTGGAGTGGTGGATTGGAATCGTCCGTGAGAATTGAGCATGAATTAGAAGGAGGAGGGGAGAGAGAAGAGAAAATTAGGGTTTTGGTGAGTGAGTGTTGGAAAGGACGCGTTGCTTTTAGAACTTTATGAAGGGGGGCTGCAAAGCTTAGTCTCGTCATGCACAGTTGCAATATATGGAGAGAGGGAGGGAGGTGGAATGAATTAGAAAAAAGGAATCAAATGGAGAAGAAAGGAAGGGGGGAGAATAGAGAAAAGATAGAAAAGTCGCCGTCAACCTTTCAAGTATGTGCCCGGAACGTCTTAAATCATGAGGAAATTTTTTCTCCTCTTGTGTAATAATATATGGTTTACCGTCTTATGTTTCGAACACTTAAAAAATGGCTCCAATATAGTACTGGAGTCTCATATTTAAGCAAAGCTAGGAGAAAATGGGGCAACTAGCACCGCATCCGTCTACATAAAAAGAACGATGGTTTTGTATTGAAGAGTATTCATTCTTGCATTCGTTAGAATTTTTCTCTTAATGTTGTTTGTATCTATAAATGAAGACAAAACTCATGTCTACTTATTGAGTGCACCTCATTGTCCACTCATTTGTAAATATTATATTGTTATTAGTATAATATTATACATATTATAACCAAAAGCGTTCATTTAAAAATGATCTTTTGCAAAAAACCAATAAAAATAGGGTGGTTTAACAAAACATTCTCGGTATTGTTCACTTTTAACAAAAAACCACATTTATACATTTCCCTGGTACTATTCACTGTACCTTTAAAAATGACTTTTCATTAAAAGGGAAGTTGTTTTGAACTTTTCGTTAGTTTTCCTATAACAATATCATTTAAACATCCTTATGTATGGAACAATTTGACAGTTTTGATACTTCAATCCTTATTAGTACATATAAATGACCAAAAACTTTTTAGTTCAGTTGATTTTTGGCACATGAACTTGAAATAGTTATTCACAAATTAAATAATTTTGATTATGACATTAGCCAATAAAAATATGTTAATTACAATGAGATGGATGGGTTTATACAAGCAAGTAATATATCTTCCCTTTGTTCTTTATATTTATGTCATTTGGATACGGAATGCATCATGTACATTATTGCAAGGGTCGGATGTGGAGTAACTTAATTGATGAATAGTAGCATGGTACTATGTGAATGCCACCCCTTTATGTCTATATATATATATATATACACGGTTTCTAGTTCAAAATAGTGTTTGAAATTGGCATAACTTCTCACTTTGATCATTGAGATTAAAAATCAATAGAAGTGGTTACTAAATTTGTTCATCGCCAATCATTTAGGTCATTCTGTGAAAAATCTCTGTTAAATTGAGAGTATTTTTATCTAATCAACCCCTCCACTTGCATTCCATTTAACAAAGATTTTTCATGAAAAGACTAAAATGATCGACAGTAGACAAATTTAAGAACCATTTCTATCACTTTTCAATATCAAAAATCAAAGCAAAAGTTATACTAATTTCATGAACTATTTTAGCTAAAAATCTTATATATTTTGAAGACACGTCATGTGGCCCTTCATGTGGTTGTGAAGGATTTTCGTCATTTTATTTTCAAGTTTGGTAGAATCCCAAACCCTATCTTTTTCAATATGTGTTTTTAATTAACGATGTTGATTGATGGCATATGGATGCATGATGGTGAAGACATATATGTACATATATAATGTACGACTGTTGCAATGAGTTATCCAATTCCCCAATACGCAACATTCATGGCTCTACTTAATAACTATGTTGCTTGAGTTGTAACATCACCTATTCATACCAATAATTGAGATAACATTAACACGTACGTATAACATAAAATAAAATCCATCTACGGTACGGTTAAGTATTGATTCGTTTATTCTCTTCTTTGTGGCTTTTTCTCTGATATATTTAACAAATTATGAAGTTTGTCATGCAAAATATGAAGCTCAATAAACAAAGGCATGACTATAAGTTAATTAAAGAAATTAATTCTATATTTGTTTATAGAGAACAAGTTTTTTTCGACATTAGTCTATATATATCAAGGTAACTCTTTGTTAATCAAAGAGGATAAAATAACTAATCACTACTGGTAGTCTAGCAGGTGAAGACGAATTTCAAACCCGTATTCTATATAGAACGTCTTGGGTTCGATTCTATGTGAGTCTTTTCAGCTTCTAAAAGAATAGACTAGTAACGAAGCCACCAACTTTTTTTTTTTTTTTTTCCAAGTAAGATAGAATAACTATTTGACAAGGAGGATAAAATATAACTTGAAAACTAAGGGTGGGATAGCAATTTTGATTTACCAACTTCCTCTATCCCACACCCTAATTTTTTATCTCCTCATTTCTCCATACTCTCATGCAGTAATTAACTCACATACTACACTTAAAAAAAAACTCACAGACTACAATTTTTTTCTAGAGTTAAATCGTCATAATTATACGCATAGATATGCATTACGTGGGTAAATGATACACAATGATTAGATTAGAGTGATGAAGTATTGCTATCATCTTCATGAACCTTATTTAATTAAAATTAAAACCAATAATCATATATCAAAATGTGTTGAAAATGGGAGCATTTTTACTCACCACCATTTAGTGTGGTGTATGCTCACCATCCTATTTATCACCGTTAGATGAGTTTGCATTTCGAGATTCGTGTAGTGGATAAGCACAAATTTCAAAATTGAAACTCATCTAACGGTGATAAATAGGGTGGTGAGCATACACCACACTAAATGGTGGTGATAAAAAATTCACTCGTTGAAAATAGACGAGTGTGGTTCACTTGTCAAATTAAGTTTGAACAATGTATGCTTTACCAAACTTATAGAGCATACGCATATGAAAGTTCATCTCCTTTTACCTTATTTTCTTTGTCGTTTCTTCTACTTTTTACAATAATAAACCAAATATGTTTATTTGAAATGACTTAATTTTCCCAAAAATAATAGTAGTAACTTAGAAGAGCATCTTTAAAAGAAGCTCTAAATTTTTGTTAAACTAGTAAGTAAACAGAGTTAAAAAAACTATTTTATTTACTCAATTTAACTTTTCATATCCGACAACACTTTCTATTCTAACAAGCTTTGAATATTTTATTATTAACAATTCAAACTCAATTCATTCATTCTCTAAAACAGTTTTTATACTCTTTATTTTCTCCTTACTCAGGAGTCCACTTGAGTTTTATTGTTCTTTAATATTTAATTTATGAACAGTTGCCTTGTAAATTTAACAAGTGACTATTCATTTTAATGTCATAGAAACTCTTTTACCGAGTTTGTTAGAGATGTATTTTTTTTTTCTAATTAGAATAAAATTTTGGTTATTTTACCGCATCTATTGGAGATGCTTTAAGTAGCAGCCGCGTACCCTAAATTTGACAGATTTAAAACTTTTTTCAGTCGATGAATACAATTAGTTTTGATTTGGAAGGCATAGCTATTGGTTAAGCCTAGAGGTTAAACATGTGGTCCAAACAAATCATGGTCCATATCAAAAACCTTTGACGTGGAGGTGTTATGTCCTCCCATACCAAACGCAACAATCACACTGTTATCCTCAATAAAATCACTCTTATTTTATTTTGGGGGATAATATTGTTACTCAAATTTAATACTACTTCCTCAATTACTTAATCATCCAGAGGCCAAGGCTTTTGAGAGGGAGGGAGAGAGAGATTGATACCTAAATCTTTTTAATTGATATAAAAACTACTTGAGCCTCAAGCAAGCCCATCGTTTCAACCAAAATTTATAATATAAAATAATAAATAGACCATTTGTTGTTAAAGAGAAACCATTGCCTGCTTCAGGTTGTATTTCAGGGCATTTTATATTGGAAAGTATTATTGGTATTCTAAAAATTTCATTCTATACTCCCATAATTGTATTTTTCTTTCCTAATATAGAAAGTTTAGAGTCTAGAATGAGATTTTTGGAGTGCTAATAACAATTCCCTTTATATTTTGGTATATCTAATTGTCAAAATCCTTTGTCAAATATAAAGAACTGCTAACTTTGAAAATTATTGAGTATATAATACTTCGGAACGTTATAATATTTTTATTCTTTTGAGCAATTGATGATTAACAAGATTTATTTGTGAGTGAAAGAAAAATTAACATAAAATAAATTTATTGTCACGTTCATTTTATGTTAATTGATTTTTCATCATACAGTAGGAATGCACTCTGCATATTGTTGGAAGGGTGAATGCCAGGACTGAGGACCCGGAGACCCACATGTCATTTCACAAGATTTATAGAGATAACAATTGGGTACGTGGGGCAATTGGATCGATAACCCTACGAAAGCTTCGAAATCTTTTTGAATCGTCCACTTGTGGGTTTGTTGGACTCCATATAATCGCCTGCGGTAAAACATTAGGGTTCCTCCTAGAAGTGGGTTGACTCAAAACTCGGGTTTTTTACACAGTCCGCGGGCTAAGTCAATTAGTAAGATCATAGAACACATGACTTGATGATTAAATTTCTTGTTTAAATTATTAAATATGATATTCAATTATCAACCGTTACATCTTATGATCTACAAAATATCGCATAAAGTATTATCTGTAACATTTTACTTAGTGTTCATCTTGTTATCATCAAAGTTTGACACTTAGCACCAAAGTTTAGTGCTACTCTATTTATAAGTTGGAAGTCCTAGATTCGACTTTCATTGATAATGAGTTCGACACCAAATTATTATAGCTAATTTATCATGTGCTTAGCGAAAATTCTCTACTCCTAAGTGTAAATCGGTAGTTGTATTAAAAAAAAAAAAAAAGAAGAGTTTTTGTGAAGTTTAACTTGAAAAGTTACCTAAAAATATTTAGAAATTCAGAGGGAATATCTGCGTTATGATTTCATGGTTGAATTATAAAAAATAAAAATAAAAAAAAAGAAAAAGATGTGGGGGTCTAACCTCCATATCCAAAATTTGTAATGTCTCATCTCGAGTGGTTGCGGTTTCATCGTCATCATAAAGTTGAGAACAGTACCCCTCACCGTCCCTTATTTTGGCTCCACCGGCCGGTTCTATTATTTTATCACTAGCATTTGCCTACATACTTTATGTGTATGAAGATATTTTTTTAGAAAATGAGTACGAGAGAGGGGGAGAGAGAGAGAGAAGGTGGGGGGAGTGGGAGGTTTTAGTTTTTGGTTTATTTTTTAATTTTTTTTATTAATATTTGAGGTATTTTAGCATCACCTGTAGGTGAGGCTTCAATAAAGAACAATAAAATTTGGACCTGTGAAATTACATTTTTGCCCATCGTTTTTTTGTGTGATAGAAGACTAAGTAGTCTTTTCACTATCTTTTGGTTAACAAAGAGAGTTTCATTAATTAATAAAGATATTACAAATCTCAGATCAATTATTATCTGC